TTTCTGGACATAAGATGTTTTATTTTTACGGGGTAGGGTTGTCAGCACTACCCCCAACGCTTTAAAAAACCATGTTAAACCGGGACCTACAGTTAAAGTGGATTCCGAACTAACATTCATGCCACCACCGGGAATCGAACCCGAAACCAGTGCAGAGCGCTAGACACTCGGCCATCAGGCCCCACCTTATTAAATATTTGAAAATATTTCCTCTCCGTTAGTTCTTTTTTTTGCAGCCTTTATTTTATTTATTTTGAAATTTCCTATTTTCAGTTTTATTTTTACTTTAAAAATCAATTTGAATATATAGATATAAAAGAGACGAGGCAATGTTTTGCCTGGAAAAACTTGAATTCATAACCAATGAATCAAATAAAAAAAAAAACTCTTCATAGCTGAATTAGTTAGTTATTTCAATTCCTTCTATTAGCTCACACTCTCCCTATATATATCTTGTTCAAATTTTCAATCGTTCATAAAACACTTTTTATTCATCCACTCAAGTTCAAATACATTTTTTTTTTGAACTTGTAGTGGATGACACTGGATGTTAATACAGTTTTTCAAATATTAATTCATTAATTAAATTTAATTCATTAATTTTAGTTTTTAAGATTCAAGTTGCATATATCTACCAATAGATGTCGCCAGATAAACTTAAAAATGAAAATTATTTATAAAGAACTTTTCTGCAATATAGTGAAAAAAAGTAGAAATTGACTTTAAAAATTTTTTTTTTTATATATTACTTGTTTTATTTATTATCAATTTTAGAAGAAAAATATTTTTGCTTACATCTTCGTACGAAGTATTATTAAAATAGACTTTTATGCTTACATGAGTCTTTAGATACTTTGATAAATATCAGACTCATTTTCGTGTCCAATATATCTAATAGGCAATATCTATTCTCCTCCGAGAACCTATCTATCTGGTTATTAGTCTGCCCTTTTCTGAACAGGTCAGTAAAAGTAAAGAGAAAGAAAGAAAGAAAAAAATTCTTCGTCGCAGAAGAATTCATCATTTCCCGCGCTCTGTCCCACCGAAACAAAACACTCTTCCCGGCATCCCTTGCGTCCAGAACAAGATGGCCGGTTTTGTGTAACGCCAATGAAAGGAAGATAGAAGATGAAAAAAAATCCAGCACTACGAGCGCCATCTATTGTTACGCATGGGAATAATTCTGTGCCATAAAAATTCAAAACATTCCACATTGGGATTCCTTCTGTTCCAAGGAAGATTTCGGGGGGATGTTTTTTTTTCCCCATCTCTTTTCTTTCTCGTGTTTGGCGTGGCCGGTTGGAGTTTTGGAATTCCTCACGTACTTTGGCCGACTTGTGACGTCTAGATTTCGCAGATTGGAAAAGAAATACTTTAAAAGGAGGATCTCTATGCGTGTATTAATAACTAGACGATATTCTGGATGGCTTGTTATTTTTCTGTGTAATTTTTTATTACCGACAATTGAAATGTCGGATAAATTTGAAAATGGAACCATTTTTCATTTTCAATGCCTTTATATAGCATTGTCAATTCACAAATTCTTTATAAACATTAAAACATTCCATGAAACCCATTCTAGTAAAAAAAAAAAAAATAACTATATATATATTTATAAATTGAAATCTGCTCGGCAAAATTTCAACGTATCATGTGTGAACATTCGAGAACGGATGAATAAACTCAGGAATATGCCATTGTTTAATAATGCACGAGATACATTTGATTGGAATACTACAAGAATGGCCAAATTGAAATAGCAATGTTGAATAGATTAAGAACTTCATGAAGAATGAAGTGTTCAAGAATCTTTAAAAGAATACACAAAAGTAAGATAAATGTAGTCGTAAATGAAGAATGAAGTAGTCCAAATTCTACAAGAAACGTTGTCACATTCAATAGCCAAGAGAATATATCAATGTTTGAAAATGCTAAGCATAAATGATGAATGGAGTATTCCCAATTCTACAATAAACACTACAACATTCAATAGCCAAAAGAATACATCAAAGTTTGAAAATTCTAGGCATAGATGAAAGAAAGAAGTATTCCAAATACAATAAGAAGAATTATATAGCTCCATAGGCACTGGAAAATGCCAAAAAGTGATGAATATGAAACTTCAAAAAGAAGGAATTGATCAACGCACTACAGTACTTATAGCCACTGGAAATACAGATGTTTAAAATCCCAACACAAAACATGAAAAAGTGATTCAAAACCATATTAAAAAACACTTCCAGCAAAAGCCAAATTCTCCAGAGAATTAATTGAGAGTAACATTATTCACGAATCATTTCAAGAGTTAAAAAGGGCCAAAACTACCATTTTCCGCCAAAATTTGCAATTTTATTTTATTTGCTTGACCCTCATTTTCGGATAACGTCGCGGACCCCCTAACCAGAACAACATCATATTACATTCATAATAATATAAGAGGGATAGAATGGTTTTGCAAAAATGTACAAACCATATTAAACACACATCATAAAAAAAAAAAAATTGCGATAAACATGAATGTATTGAAAATCTAAAAGTTCCCGCCTGAAACATTGTTTGTGTACCATTGCTCTAGATCCAGTGTCTCTCAAACTGGAATCTAGGGCCCTCAGAGGCATTAAGATCTTGCAGGTCGTAAAATTATTTGGAAAAATGTCCCTTTATAGGAATTTTTAGTTTAAGTTTCATTTTTAGTGACAGTTTAAATTTATTTGCTATCAGTATGGTTTATTTTGTTCTTAAGAAAAGATTTTACATTGTCTTACAATATTATTTTTTACATTGTTTCAAATTTTAAAAAATCGTTTTCATTCAATTTGTTGCCATTTACGTCACTTTTATTTTATTCACAATTATAAATATTAAAAAATGGAATAAAGATGACTATAGCACTCACAAATTTGTAAAATAAACACAGAAAAATATTAACTTAATCTTAAAGAAGAAAAAAAAAGTGTAATACAGAAAATTTTTCCAGTTTTTTTCAAGTATATTAAAATAAATTTTAAAAAATTGCCCTTTTATAATTTTTTTTTTATATTACATTTATATTTTGACTTTTGATTAATAATATTTAAAAAAAAAAATTTTTTTTTAAATATTATTAATCAAAACTACTTTTATTCAATTTTTAGAGTGAGTTTATAATCGCATATTTTTCTAAAGATGATTTTTAGATATTTGTTATGATATTCAGACGTCACGCAATGCTGTCTTTTATATTTTTTTCATTGGACATCGACGTTAGGGTCGTTTGACATTTAAATTTGAACGAAGGGATATCTCAAACCAAAAAAGGTTTAAGAACCATTGCTCAAGGGACCTACAAAGAAATCACTTAATTGAAAATTTGGTCAATTTATTATTATTATTATTATTATTTTAATTTTCTTTTAAGTGATCCTTTGTTGTGTTCTATTAACACAATTAATAGGATTATTTAATCTAGTTTTTAATGGATTAATTAATTTAGTTTCTGTAATATTATCAGTTAAGTTGTTTTTATCTAAGTTTAAAAAAATGATGCGTTAAGTGTGCGCAAAGAAACGCCAGAGAAGCTGTTTTTAATCAAGAAAACCGCATTTCTTTCCCCCGCACTGTGCCATTTATCATCTGCGAGTCTCTTTTGTGCTACTATAAAAAATAAAATCTTTGACACCGCTGAAGAAAAAGACAACTCACCAGCCCAGCACATTGGCACAAAAAATGTTAAATACATATTTATATAAATAAAAAATATATTCATATATATTCACATATACTAAAATATAATATATTTTATATATATTTATATAAATATAAAAAAATTTAAAAAAATTTCTCGAATATTTCAATGGGATGTAGCTAAATGAAGGACATCAAAAAATTATTCAAAGAAGAGTAAATTCCATGCACAAATTCCAGACTTACAGGGCTTAATAAAAAGGACTGAATATTTTCCAAATGGTAAAAATAATTGGAAAAACGGTAAAAATTATGTGTGAAAAATTATGCAAAAGAAACGTTTCTCGTAGCACACACATATGAAAAGGCACAAGTTTTATTACATGACATTATTTATTATCTACTACAATGAATTTATTTTAATTTTAAAGTCATTATATATGTAATATAATTTATTTAAAAAAAATTTAATTCACATAAAATTTACTCATCATCATCAGTGGCGCAACAGCCCCATGGTGAGCCAAGGCCGCCTATCTGCAGGCAGATTTCTTGATAGGAGATATCTTCTTTTTCCGGCGTAGGGTAGTCGGCACTACGCCCAACAGCGCCCATATTGACCGGGACTTAAGTGGACGGTTATTAAGCGGTTTGAAGTGGATTCCGACCCGCTACAAACATCCATTGCACCTCGACTCGATCCCGAATCTCTCGAAATTGACCATTAGGCCCATAAAATTTACATGTATAAAATTTATTTATACATAATAAAATTTATTTATTTTACTAGAGTTATTAATTAGATGAAATATTAAAATATTTTAAAAAAAGGCCCTTTCTAGCCTGTCAGTTTTTCATGATTACAGGTATTTGTACTTAACTTGAGACTTATACTGAATTGACTGCTTATTCTCGAGTTATCAATGGGCGCCTTTGGCAAAGAATAAGAAATGAAATGATGAAAGAATCACTGATGTCAATAAGTTTAAGCAAAAAATATCTGAATATAGTTTTAACATTTAATGTACATATCACTTTTTGATTACTATCTCATTACTCACCCCTTGTAAACGTATAAGATGCTAAATGTGGTTGTTGTTTGCAGGTAGCATATCTGGAACGGGAGGGCGAGAGAGAAGGAAGCTGGCTCTTAGGAATAGTTCTGCTCCTCATCGTCACTTCGTTATTGTCTTAACACTTCCAGGTGAGTTACTCTCCTACTCGTACATTTTCCTAAATGTGTTTTAATGGGATCATGAAATTACTAGTAAGCATCTAAATAATTATTTTTTTTATTTAATTAGCATTACTTATAGTACTACTTAGCATTACTTACTTTCTCGTTAGATCACCGAAGTCAAGCATCATTGGACGCGGTCAGTAGGTGGGTGACCACCTGGGAACACCGCGTGCCCGTTGGCATTCACAAATTTGGAACCTGAATGGCCGAGTCTCCTAGCGCTCTGGCGCTCGGTGCCACAGGTTTCGAGGTTCGAATCCCGGCGGTGCCATGGGTGTTTGTAGTGGTTCGGAATCCACTTTAAGCCGTAGGTCCCGGTCTCCTATGACTGTAAGAGCGTCACGGAGCCAAAGTCAGACTTCTATGGGTGCTCCATCACAACAGAAGCTGCTTCCCTTCCCCTTCAATCATGAGTACGTATGGGCTCGTGGGCTTGGTCAGTCAAGGTGGGATAAGACAAATACTTATAGTTTTTGCTCAACACACTGACTGCAGGTCACGGGAGGATGTGTTTGATAGCTATTGCCTGGTCACAGAAGCGGATTTTTTTCCTGAAAGGCGACTTACTTTCATAACGAATAATGATTGAAAAAGGGTCATAAAAGCATAATTATGTGTATGACACTGATTTCAAAGTAATTTTTAGCGCTTTTCCTCATAGGATACTACTCTCAGGGCCTTGTAGGCACCAGAAGTAAAATTATTTCATGAATACCACATGACGCCCTGAAGCATGATGTGCAAAGATGAAACAAAATAATGGAAATAAGTGACAAAATGTATTATTTTTTGTATGATACTTTATCATTGC